CCAGCAGCCCCCACAGCGGCACCCCAAAGCTGCGCGCCCGCAGGGAGGGGGTCAGGGGCAGCCGGGACCACCCCGCCCCTGGCATCCCCCAGAGACCCCCCGGCCCCCAGGCACCTCCAGACGTCGCTGCTCTTGGAGAAGAGCGAGAGGCGGATGACCTCGGGCGCCATCCAGGCGTAGGTGCCGGCCGCGCTCATCTTGGTCGTCTGGTGCCACTCGCGCGCCAGCCCGAAGTCGGTGATCTTGAGCGTGCAGCGCTCCAGCGCCTCGTCCGACAGCTGCTCCAGGATCAGCACTGCGGGGGCAGCGCGGGCATGGCAGCGGGGGCCCGGGGTCTCCCGGGGCAGGGAATGGGCTCCAAGCTGCAGCTAGAGCCCCCCCACCCCCCGCGGCCCTGACCGCTGGAGAGCACGGTCGCAAAGCCCTGGCCTGACTGCGGGCTGAGCTGCAGCTGGCCCTAGGGTAGGTTAGTGGGGGTTTATATGGGGACCTGGTGCAGAGATGCGGCTGGTTCTGGGGTGGAGCAGGGGGTGTCTTACACAGGTCTCCCTGCCCTGCTTGCTTGGAGGCGGCTCGTGCCTCAATGACACAGCCAAAGCCAGAACCCAGGCTTCCTAGCTTCCCACCCCCGCCGGCCTCTGCAGCTGCTGCCTGGCATGGTGCCCCCTCCCTGCCCGCCCCGTGCCTGGTGACCCAGAGCGGCCGATACTGCGGGAGTTTCGGTCACGGTGGCGTGGCACTCTCCCCCGCACAATGCCAGTGTGGCGGGGGCGGGGCAATGAGGGGGGCAGCCCATGCTGGGACCCCCCCTACGCTGGGGGCATGGGCGCCTGCGGGGGCATAGTGACCCTGCCCTTGCCCCCCGCGTGCAGCCCCCCGGCCCCCACCCCAGCACCTGCATCGGGAGCCTGGCCTGGTCAGGCTCCTGGCATGCACGTGCAAGTGTGTGCCCACCTCTGATCAGGTCCTTGCACGCGTATACATGTGCACACGGACATGTGCACCCAGTGGCCTTGATTAGGCCTCGTGCACGTCCATACATGTGTGTACCTGGTGCCCAGGATCAGGCCGCTTGCACAAATGGGCATGTGCACATGTACACAGACGTGCTCACCCTGTGCCCTTAGTCAGGCCTCTTGCATGCACGCACAGCCACACGCACACAGGTGTGTACACACGCACACATGCACCCAGTGCCCTTGAGCAGGCCTCTTGTGTGCATGGGTATGCATACGTGTGCACACACACCACACATGTACACACGTGTGTGCAAGCATGGTTAGATATTTTACATATGTACATGCACTCCCCCTGCACACACATGCACGCTCACACCACTGCGCACACATGCATATGCACAAGCGCACTCACATGTGCACACAAACCACACATAGACACACGTGTGCAAGCACAGCTCCCCTGGTGCTTAGGCTTAGGCCTCTTACACATGCACACGCACACCCCCCACACATGCATGTGCACACACACACACATGCATGTACACACATGCATGCACACACAAAACTGGGCCCTGCAATGAGGCCTCTCACACCCCCATGCCTTCCTCCCTCCCAGCACCCTCGCTCAGGCCTCTCGCAGGCCCGCACGCCCACGCCCCCGACCCCCACTCACCGTTGATGGACTTGAGGTCGCGGTGGATGATGGGCACCACGGCCTCGTCGTGCAGGTAGTTCATGCCGCGCGCCACCTGCACGGCCCAGTCCACCAGGACGTGGGGGGGCACGCGGCGCCCGGCCAGCGCGCGGCTGAGGGGGCCGCCGCGGGCGTACTCCATGACCAGGCAGAGGTGCGGGGGGCTGAGGCACACGGCGCGCAGGGCGATGATGTTGGGGTGGCGCAGCAGGGCGAAGAGCCGTGCCTCCTGCCGCACGCTCTCGGCCGCGG